AAAAATGATTCCCTTTTAAAAGAGAGGTTAGATTGACACGAGTCCGATGATCAACTAAATATGCAGCGAGACAACAAAGACATATTACATAGTATCGATATAAGTAACATATGATTATATTTTGACATAACGTTTGATTTTAACTGGTTTTGTTGCTATTTATCCGTTTTCTCTCCTTGCTAAGAGTTCCTTACTTATGATAAAAGCTTAGCAACAGAGTCGTCAAAGAATATAGCTTATGAACTTTGTCAGGTTGGAACTTGCGTGGCTGTCGCTGAATTAAAATTGTAATTTAGTAGTAAGCACTAACCACTTGGAAGTGGGTGTATTTAAGAGGCTGCAACCTTTATTATTTTTTTTTTTGCGGGTTAGAACTAAAAAAGAAAACAGGGCATCATCAACTGAAGAAAAATGAGGCAACAAATATCGTGCACATATTAAAGCTAGTTCAACTGGTTAAAACTACGCATTTGTCTTAGTTCTCAAACGTGCAAACGTATAATGAGTTTGAGTAAAAAGGTTACCCAAAAGAAAAATCCAACTCAAACGAAACGTGCACAGGTAAATGATATGGTGGCTAAAAGATATGAGGTAAATGATATGGTGATTTAAATATAATATATGTAAAAATCCGATTAAACTATACCCGCACGTATAACGACTCACTTCTGAAAGGGAAGCTTGTTCGAGAGAGAAAACAAACAAATATTTCTACCATAAAAGGAAATGCAATAAAGAGGTAACCAGTACCACTAAAACAGGAACAAAACAAATATTTGCTATTTAACTGATCAGCACGTAGCACTGACTTCAGTAATCGCAGTGTTCTGGTTGAGCTCTAATAATGGTTCAGTATTTCGCTGTTTTCTTGGTTTTCTCTTTTTCTGGCGGTTCACTGGGAACAACCACCTCACCTCAACAACAAGACACCGCAAAGTTAAAAGATTTATGCGAGGTATGAAATAATGATTCTGTTTTAGCTGACATTTTTGGGTCTCGGGCAGTGGGTGGAAAAAAATCGCATTAAAAAGGTCTGCAACGGAGTTTATATTGGCACAATAAAAATGCCAGCTTTGTCATAAGGCACCGTGCTCTTTCTGAGATTTACGATTTATTATTTAGTTGATAGATAACGTAAACCTCAACGTTTCTGTGTTTAAGTCTGCGTTTCAAAATTGGCCGCAAAGATTGGTCTCACCGATTGTCCTGATCTACCCAGTCTTAGACAATTTATTTTGCAGTTTCTCAATAATAGACGGGTATCGATTGACGCCAGTGTCATGTTAATTAAATTGAGGGCGGAGCTTTCCTTTTTAGGGTTGCATTGTTTATGAAGGTAAGCAGCAAAATGAAATGCTGGGAGACTGAGCTTTGTTTTAAATAGGAATTTCTCTTTCCACTAAAAAATATCTGGTAAATATATCCCTAGCTTTTAAGATTTTTTTGGTTTAAAAAATTGATCATTATTTATCGTTATTATTATTAAAATCATTGCTATTAATGTTTTCTCATTTTTTTTAATTTTATTTTTATTATGGTTATCATTATTATTTGGTTATCATATCATCATCATCATCATCATCATCATCATCATCATTAGCATTATTATTATTATTTTATTATTATCCTAGCAATCATTAACCTAGTCTGAAGAATTTGTATTCTTCACCATAACCGAAGCTCCAACTTTTACGTGATTCTGAAGCATTAACATTCCTCAGCCGAGCAACTTTCCCTCTTAAACCTTTGCATTTTCCCGACTTTGCCTTTTCTTTTAATTTTAACTATTCGGCTAGTTCCCAGAGGGACTACTCCTTTTCCCTTAAAATCTGTCTAGTTCTTATCTAATCCAGCGCGATTGCAAACCACGATATTATTATTTAGGGATTGAGACGAGACGAGAAAAGACGGACTGCTGACTCTTTTGTAGTAAACAAACCCTCTGTAAGCCCAGAAACGGAGTAACCGATTGGTCAATTGCACAGCTGTTGACAGAGCATTAAGAGCGACGGTCAGGAAATATCGACCATCGAGTGGCAAGTGTTGAAAACTCGATTTCTTTCATTTTTTGTCCATAAATAGCTTTTAGGTAGATAAGTTATCTGATGTAAGTTGTTCTCGCAAAAAGCCTTTTATTTTCGAGAAAAGTTAAAATATCAGTTTCGTGGTCGGAGTTTCAAAATGGCCGTATTTTCAACCCGAAATTTGCTAACATCAACTCTCTTCGCGTTCGCAAATAAAGGCGCAAAGAGAAATTTAAACACTTTCCATCAATAGAACAACTCTTCTTCTTTCAATAGAAGATACTTTCAAAGCAATATCGAGACGCGTTGAACTAACATAATTCAAAAACGAAGAACAGGTTTTTACGGTGACAAAAACTTTAATTTAGTAGTTGTTTTCTGCGACATTATTCTTCATGTGGTATCGCTCCAAATTTTCCCAGTCCTCGTTTATTCACACATTTAGACATTCATCTAAAACATACCTGAGAATTGGCTTGGGTTCCTAAAAGCAGTCTCCAAACGAAAGCATCGAAGTCGAGTATAGTGAAGCGTGACCAAAACAACTTATTTAACGGCTCCAAGTTTCCTCGATCGTAAAGTAACAAGACGAAATATCTTCCTGTTCCGTCATCCTTGGCGAATTACCATTGTTAAAGTCCTTATTTTTCGATAAAAAGTGAGCACTAGATTACCAGGGCGTTTGGTATTTTTTTTCTTCAAAATACTGTCGGCACCGAAAATGTTACTCTTTCAAGAATTGCGTTGCGTTACTACCGTGATTCCGTGACTGTCATTTTGACGGCACCGTCTCTTCAAACGTACGTTATGTCAGGTGCTGTCACGGAAGAGATTGCCGGAGTCGCCGGCTGGTAGACTTCATTGTTTCAAAATGGCTAAAATTGACCCAGTTTCACCTTTTTACTCCACTCTTTGATTGAAATAAGCAACTTTGCAGTGGGGAAACCTGCAAGAACTACGAAAAACGAGCCTTTAGGCTGTTCTACTTTTGTGCATTTCGAAATTGGAAGTGTCAGGGGCACCCAACGAGGATATAGTTCAAAACCACTTAACATACCATTGTTGAACGTAGTTTGGTATTCAAACGGTAGATGTAGGCATATTTTTATCCCCTAAAAACTTTTCATCTGTTCGGATTTCCTAGCTGAAAGTCTAGTGATCCGAATATTATAGGGATAAAAACTTACCTTCTCGAAAACGTCAGCCAGGAAAAGGCTCCCGAAAATTCTAGGTGGCCTTTTTAAGGGTCAAAATCCGTTAAAAATGGGTAATTATACCACTTTGTCGATGTTCGAAAATCCCAGGAGAGGCAGGCAAGCAAGAAATTTTACAACAAATGCTCCGAAAATTCTAGATCTCAAATCGTCTTCCGAACAGATATTTTCCCGAAAATTGCCGTTGGGTGCCCCTGAAGTGTTTACACAATTACCTTCGGCCTACCATGAAAATTCCTGAACTTCGATGGTGTCTTACAGAGGTTTCCTTCAGTAACCCAAGCCAATTCCCAGGTATGTTTTTAATGAATGTCTAAATTTGTGGTTTAGATAGCATGAAGAGAATTTGGAGTTATACCACAGGTTAAACATTGCCGTCGATAATGAGTAACGAACTTAAGTTTTTGTTATCCTTAAAGCCTATCCCTCATTTTTGAATTATTTCAGTACGACGAGCTTCGCTATTGCCCTGTAAGTGTGTTCTAGTGGAAGAAAAAGAATTTTTTCTGTTCGTGGAAAGTGTCCAAATTTCTCCATACGGCTTCGTTTGCGAACGCGAGGAAAGTTTATGTTAGCGAATTTCAGGTTAAAAATTAGGGCAGTCCGAGACTCCGACATCGAAAACCGATCTTCTAGTTTTTCTTACAAATAAAAGGCTTTTGGAGGAAACAATCTTCATTAGGTTTCTTATCTACCTAAAAGCTTTCTATGAACAAAAAATGAAAGAAATTCATTTTTCAACTCTTGCCACGAAATTAAGATTTTGGTCGATTTTTCCTGACCGTCGCTCTTAACTGGTCTGTGGTGAGATTGTAAACAATGAAAATAGTCACGCGTCACAAGCAACTGCAAACAACAGCGAACCAAGCAGAATCTCAGCAATATAAAAGTTTTAGGATATCTTACAGAAGGAAACTGCTGTAAACTTCGTCAAGGGAAACGAATTCAAGGCAATCCTTACCGGATTTAAAGAAAGTGTAATTTTTGCAGTTGTTTATGTTCAGTTTATAAATCGTTTCAAGTTACTCTGGTTTAATTGATGAATAAAAATATAATTACTGTGACAGCTTTGTTGTCCCCAGACAGAACAAAAGAGTCAGCAGTCTCTTATTTTTTCTTCTCGGGCGTACGCCCTCGTTTCTCGCGGTTTCGTGCAGTAACTTTGCAAAGAAAAATAAGAGACTGCTCGCAGTCTAAGGGACTGCTAACAATTATATGACACCATCCTTGCTTTTTATCTAACAACATTCTGTTTTGCCGAAGATCAGTTCAATGCCGTAATCATCATCATCATCATCATCTTGATTACAATTATTATTCTCTTTTCTTCTTTCTTTAAATACCGATATATTGTTTTGCTTAGGGGCAAGACTGGGAGTTCGCCAAACCGTTTGTTCCGACCGCTTTATTTATCTATATAAAGCTGTGTTTACACTCAAGCGTTTACCAAGGTAAACATTAACTGACTAAACCCTGGTACATTTGTACAGTGTTAATACGGGCTCAAATAACTAAGGTAAATCTGTCATCAATCACAATCTAATCGAATTGGCGGCAAATCGACGCATAAAATGCTCGCGTTTAAGAGAAGAAGCTGTGGCTCTTATAGTCCTCGCGTTTTATTTTCTTGTTCTTGATCAGTAAACCCAAGAATCGAGATTGCAGCAGCTCTTACTTTTGCAGCACCTCACGCCGGGTCAGCTGTCTCAAAAAAGTCGTCATTTAGTTACCGCGGTCACACCAGCGGTCTTACCCAAAAAAAATGGCGGCCAGAAGACAGTGTTTCTCCCGCGAACAAGTAATTGAAGAAGTTTTGGTGGAGAGTGAAGAAGCCGAGGAAGATGAAGGCCCTGAAGTTAATGTAAATGATATTTTGGAGACGTCGATAGGCAATTTTACTGCTCTTCGGCGCTCCATTTCCAATTACACCCATTTTAGGGAGGAAGCTAGTCAGCTAATGCTGAATGTCTACCACCGACATGAGGTTGGGGTGCATGGGATGGATAAATCTCTCATGTCTTCCCTCCCGGCGTGGCCCATGATCACATCAGAGGTTCTGATCTGGCTGAACAGGATAAGAAGGCGGATGTCGGCAAACCCGAAGGCTTCCAATCCATGGACTATAGAGGTGAAGCGTGACCTCCCCCAAGAAATATTTGAAGTTTTAGTGAAGTCTGTGCAGGGGGCGCCTTCAGCTTTTGGGGTGTCAGTGGAGGACAATGTGATTAAATACACTAAAAAAAATCGTCTCCTGCGCGATTTCTCGAAGTTTTGTGGCATCCCTCAGAGTGAAATCGCCAATAAACTTAAGAAAAGCTTTGGCGGAAACCGTAAAGGTTTTAAAGCAGAGGTGCTTGCGAGCAGAGAAAAGCCTCTTTCTATATCCTACAATTGCAAACGAAAGCAGCTAACTCTAGTTTGCAATTATGGATGTTGGAATGAGTTTGGGTACAGTTTTCATGGGTAGTAAAATATGACATTTAATTACCTTCTGTTTTTTTTT